GTTCCACTTTATGGCCTGTCCCAGGCACCTCCTTGACTCTAATTGCCTGGATCCATAGATTTAGCATCACACCATCAGAGTCCTTTGTAGCTCATTAAGGCTACCTGGAGGTGAGAGTGGGAAGGTTCTGGTTTAATTTTTCTCCAGGTTTTTCTATCAGAGCCTTCTCAGCTATCTCTGGCTCTGGCCTGGAGTGGGGCACCGATGGCTTTACCATTTCTAATTACCTTGAATATAGTTATTGTTGTTAATCTCTTACAGTGCCTAATTTATAAATTAAACTTTATCATAGGTAGGTAGGTATGTATAGGAAAAAATATAGTATATATAGGGTTCGGTACTATCCCCAATTTCAGGCATCTGCTGGGGGTCTTGAAAGTATCCCCCGTAGATAAGGAGAGCACTGTTCTCTGGGATTCAGTTTTCTCATCTATAAATTGGGGATAATAATAGTACCTACCTCATACAGTGTTGTGTGGATTAAATGAGAATCCATATACAGTGTCATAAATGTTAACTATTGTTTTTGTCGTCATCACCATCATTTCTAGACATCAAGAACAAATACATTTCCCCATAATCCTGCAAAAGATCTCTTAACCCTAAATCACCTAGCTGAAGGAAACCATAATGAAAATTATAACATCAATAACATTTGTCATCAGAACACAGAATTCTAAACGATCATCAGCAATATTTGCTGTGCACCTATTAGTTTTCTTGACACCGGGCTAAGCCTTTTTGCATTCCTTCTTTTAGTCATCTTTATAGCCATATAAATGGAGACATTTATCTTCCCTATTTTACAGATGAGATATCTAAGGCTTAGGGAGGTTAGTCACCCTGAGGTCGCTGGAAAATGGAAGTAGGATCAGGTTCCATTCCATAGCTTAGCGCCTTACTACCATACCGAGACACGCTGCGCAGGCCACGGCAGCTGGGACTGGCCTTCTTCAGTAACAATAGTGGTGACCCACGGAGCAACACGGACTCGGGTGACCAAATTAGCACTTCCAGTAGCCTCAGCTTACTAAGTATCTCCATGCCAAGGAGAACCACTGATTCACATGAGCCAGCTGGGGACTGCCAGAGGCCGCGCTCGACATTCAGCTGCCTGTTTACCAGGCTGATCAGAGGAGCAGACGAGCGAGACCCCCACAGCGAAGGTGCCGCACCTGCCGGAGCACACCGAGCCTGACCCACCAGAACCCCGTTCACCGGGGCCCCGGAGAGCCAGCTCAGAACGCCTGGCTAGTTAGTTTAGGGCTCCTCTCTGAGCACCGGGGGGGGCGGGGAATGACCGAGCCATCAATCAAACAGAATAAGTACCATCTCAAATAAACTCTGAGTTCTTTCAAAGGCTCAAAATGTTTTTTGTTGACATCAAAGAATTAGAACCAGGGATTTTAGAAAATTTTAGCGCACCCCGTGAAGCTTGGGGTTGCAGGAAAACTTGGATCCTCTCTTGAGCATCTGTGAACATCGTACTGAAAAATAATCCCATTCTGGGTGTGTTTAAGAGAGGAGTATTATCTTTTTTCTTTTTAGAACATTCATCAAATTACAGTTTGAAAGGCAGATCAGATAGCACGGTTGCTTAGTGCTCCTCCTCTGCCTTGTGTTCCCTGGGGGGAAAACATCCCCAGTATTTTTCTCTTTTAATTAAAATTAATATTTTTTTTAATTTAAAATATACCAGGATTTTAGATTCATAATAGAACTAATTCCCAGGGTGCAAACATTCAAGTTATATGAAAAAGAAAAATAATCTGTGTTTTGATAACAAGAATGGTAGTTTTTTGTTGATCTGTGTGTCAGAGCTATTCCGTACAGGGAGGTTCGATTACTGGTGGGGCACATGCCTGGATTGTGGGCTTGATCCCCAGTGGGGGACATGCAGGAGGCAGCCGATTGATGTTTCTCTCTCACATCAGTATTTCTCCCATCTTCTCCCTTCCTCTCTCTCAAAAAATCAATTTTTAAAAAATCACATGTAAAAAAGAAAACAAAACTAGTGCTCAGGCCCACTCCAGACCTATGAAGCAGACACTTGGGTGGGGCTGGCAAGTTGGTATTTTTCAAATGTTGCCCTGGTGATTCTGATTTGCAGCTGAGGACGGATAGACGCAGGTATTCCGATCTGTCAGCACAAGTTCTCCTGGGCTTTTTATTTACCCCTGTTTTCCTCTTTTCTAAAAATAAGTCATGCCACTGTCTCTGTTACTTTTTCATTCTCTTCAGGGACAACTTTTATGGGCAGAAATTTTAAGTGTTTTTCCCTTTTTCAGTTTTTACAATCCCTCTCCTAACTGGTCATTAATCAATCCAGCGTCTGTAATTCCCTGATCTCTTAGACCTCACTTGGAAGCCAAACAAGGACTCTTTTTCATAAACCAGTGAAGTGCGTGTATGCATGTGAGTGAGGGAGTGTGGTTTTCACACTTACTTGGTAAATAAGTATCACAACTAAAGACAAAACCTTGTTAAGGTCCCAGTGACAGCAGAAGAATTAGTGTATAAATAAATAATATTTCTATTTGAATTCTGAAAGAGCAAGACAAGCAGTGCATACAAGAGAGGCAAGAACAGAGAAGAGGAATGGACGCATCATTTAAGCAAAGACTCCTGCCTTTCAGCCACTCATGAGATTAGGGCCTTAAGCCAGAACATCTCATGTCTTTTTATGACTTGGGGTATATGGAATTTTCAAAATAAAGAATCTCTTTGATTTTAAGGAACAATTTTATGCTCTATTATATTTTTAAATGCAGAGGACCATAAAGTTAATACATCTTTAAAGAGTGCTATAACTCCCCCAAAGTTTAGAATCATTACATCAAGTCAGAATTCCTTACCACTTGTGGGTTCTCTTGGGATCTGGCTCTGTTGTATTATAAAAATAGCAAATAATATCGAGCATTAAGTGGCAGGTCCTATGCTGAGTGCTGTTCATGTTCACTCATTTCCTTTAAAACCCTATAAAGCAGGTAAGCTTCTTACCTGGCAAGTGGAAGAGCCAGAATTCAACTAATTTAACGGTCCTCCTCCCTTGGCCTTTCATGGTACGCCTGCTGGAACAGGGTTTTGAAAAAATAAGCACAGCATAACTTGAGTGGGAGGACTTCAGAGTTAAGCAGTCCCAGCCCTTCCACCAAGCCCACCCAAGTTGTTTTACGAGCAAATGACCACTATATCTGAGGACATCACTGTCTTTCAGAGAAATCAGCTGCTCCTTACTTCTTTCCAGTTAGCTGCTTCCCTAGAACTCACAGATCTTTTCCTCCCAGCAAGGCCCCCCAAACTGTGGGCTGTTGGAGCAACAGCCTCTATTTCCATGCTTTAAAGCTTTGGTTCTCAAGCCTCGGTGTAAACAAGAATAACCTAAGGCACTTGTTTAAATGCACACCCCTGTGTCTCTTTCCTCAGAGGGCCTGATTAAGTAGGTTGAGGGTGGAGCCCCAAATGATTGTTTTTTAACTAGGCTCTCCCAGTATTTTCCGATGCCAGTGGTGTGCCAGCGTGTTTAACATTACACGCAGTGTTTGAAACACAGTCATTGCTGCTACCGTGATGGCTGGCCAATATGATTTCAAGGAAATAATTTTGCCAACACTTCTTATCTGTTATTGAAAGATAAATGACTCTGTGTTGTGTGGTTTAATATCATAAATATTGCCACAATATTGATCAATGGCAGTATCTTAAGGTCTAGAGACCTTTCTTCCTAAGATCTTCAAATATTTCATTTAGGTCATTTATTCTTTAAAAGAAGATATCATCATTAGTCAGTTCTAATGAAGCAAGGTGGTCATGGACAAAGTCCTACAAAACAAGAAAAGTCATACCAAAATCCTGTCTGTGAATTGAGTCTTTTGATGTATCCTGAGCAGCACCCAAACAGTAAAGTTATGGAGAGTCTTAGAGATGTTCTAGTCTAACTAATAGATGTCAAAACCAGAACCTAAACAAGTGAAGTGTCTTGCCCAAGAACATACCGTTAGAAGAGCCGAGAGCGTCTCCTTGATAAGGCTTCTCCCACTCCTACACCACGAAGCTCTGTACCCGCTTAATCTGTCTCATATCGTCAGTAATCACAGACGCTGGGGGATGCAAGCATGCACCCATCAGCAGGCTGCGCTTCAGGTAAAATCACTTTCAGTGCCGGTTCCTAAGCACAAATCACTTGAGAGTTAACAGCTGGCCCCAAAGTATGCTAAGAGTCAAGGATAAAATAAATCATCTGGGGTGAAGCCCTTGCTCTAGAGATGATCCATAAATGTGTCACCTGCAGGACTGTCCAAAAGAGCCTTTCTCCAGAAGAGGTGTTTAAGGCTTTGTCTATATGTAACTATAAAGTTTGAGAAATTCAGGTAAAAAACAATTTCTGGAAGAAAAGGAAGTGAGTTGACCTATGGCTGTGTACCACCCAGATGACCTAGCCAAGGTTATATATAGTGAAATCGAGACAGGTCTACAGAGAACAGTTATGTCCTGACTCGATGATGTGTTGTTTAATTCCAGCCACAGCTGCCTCCCAAACAAATCTCTCCTGCTATTGATTTACAGTCATGGGTACCAAGGATTGTATGACTAATCAAAAATTTATTAGAATTCAAGGTGGCAGTTAAAAGCAAAAATTCCTATTAGAAATCTGGCCTGAAGCATACTTGTAGACCCCACAGGCTCTGATGTAGATGGGCTATGATCACTCTGAAAAATGCTGGCCTGTAAGTTCAATATTACTAAGAACTGCGGTATCTGTGGGTAGAGAACTTGACCAAGATCACCTGTAACAGCCAGCACTGAGTCCTCGAGTCCTGACACCTGGATCCTGTTGTTCTGACCACCCCAGTGGGACACCAGAGAACGTCACAGCCCTGTGGGGTCACTGGGTTTCCACTGGGGGTTGATTCTGGAGTACACAGCGGAAGCTTCCAGCACTCCCCACCCATCTCTAGAAGGCTCATTAAGTGTCTTGCCTCTTTGCTCTTCCTCTGCAGACACATTTGCAAGCAAAGTGGCCGCCACCCAGGACCAGTACGCAGACGCGTCCATCGGCAACGTCACTGGCAGCAACGCGGTGAACGTCTTCCTGGGAATCGGCGTGGCCTGGTCCATTGCTGCCATCTACCACGCGGCCAACGGGGAACAGTTCAAAGTGTCCCCTGGCACGCTAGCTTTCTCTGTCACTCTCTTCACCATTTTTGCTTTCATCAATGTGGGGGTGCTGCTGTATCGGCGGAGGCCAGAAATCGGAGGTGAGCTGGGTGGGCCCCGGACTGCCAAGCTCCTCACGTCCTCCCTCTTTGTGCTCCTGTGGCTCTTGTACATTTTCTTCTCCTCTCTGGAGGCCTACTGCCACATAAAAGGCTTCTAAAGGAACATCAGATAGAGTAAATTTATATATATATACATATATACATACAGAATTATGTACAGTGAACAGAGGAAACTGACACTTGTCATGTTCTCTTACCTGCTGATGGAATCCAGCTTCAAGAGCATTCTTACTAGGGCTGAAGCGAGAAGCCATCACCTCCCATTCCCAGGGGCGTCGTCATTGAACGAGGCGTGGAGGCAGGGCCGTCTTGGCAGCCCGGCCTAGAAGGGCTGTGTTCTCTCCAGGTTCATAAATCGTTAAGTCTTTGATTTGTTTTCTGTTTTGGCTTGTTTTGGGTAGGGGTTGGGAGGTGGTTGATGTTTGCCTTTCATTTTGTTTTAGTTTTGTTTTGTTTCTTTTGTTGAGAAGATGGGGGTTCTCGCTTCTCTCGTGGGAGGTGACAACCAAGCTAAATGCAAATGGATTTGGGGGTAAAAATTTAAGTCTATAAGATTACTCTCCCTTCCCCCAAACACTTTAAAAGTTATTTTGGATTAAGAAAGGATATGGGCACGGAAGAAGAAAGAAGCACGTCTTCACTATGTCAGTAAACCGGAGCTCAGCTCTGGAACAAGAGCAGAGGCGAAGTGCCTCCGAGACGCCCGGGAGCTGGAATGGAGCCAGGACAAGTGCGGGGTGCAGATTCCGCCTGCCGTTTAAGATACACTGCCTGGCACTCTTGTTCAACAGGTACAGGAATAACGCGCCTAGACCCCCGGGAACACGCAAAATCCTTTCTTTCTTCTCCCGTTAGCTCTGGATTGTGATTGGCAAGGCCCTCATTCTGGGGTTCCAGCCCAGCTAACTCCCCAGGTGCCCGTCCCCCCT